TGTATTATAAAACCTTAATATTATGTAAAAATGTGTTTATTTCATAAAAATTAAGTGTTTGAAACTAATTTAAGTGACTTTCGCCTCATGTCAAGTCTTTTTTTCCCTCAAATTTAAATTTATTCTTGTATAAATAGATGTTAACCCAATAAATATGTTGAATTAATCAATTATTTAGCATATCTTTATAAATTAATGGATTGTATTTGTGTTTCTATGCGTTTTCATATTTTTTCTGCGTTTCCATTGCGTTTCCGAAACGTTTTCATTTTTGAGCGGACCGAAACGGTACTTCAAAACGAAATTTCGATCCTTGCATAAGCCCAAATGTTACAAGTCTAAATTTAATTAAATAGGCGTGAGTTGGATCTAAATTCCACAACCCAAATATAATTAACTAGACTTGTTAAATTAATTTAAAATGGACTTAAACTCCATATGCTCAAATTAGACAAACTTTTAAAGGTAAAGTGGAAAGAAGAAGAAGTCAAGGAGGAAGAAAGATCGATTAAGTGCTGCCCGAGTCCACTTTCAGCCAAAGCCTTGCACATCCATCTTCAAGAAGAAGAGCCCACCGCCAAGGTCTTTCTTCAAAAAATTCAAATCATCTTCAAGTCATTCAAAACGAAAAATGGTGAGGAGATTCATCAAAGTCATCATTAAATCGAAGAACGAGAGATATGCTGATTCAGCTCTCGTATCCACGAAATCCACCATCAAATGATGGTCGAGAAACATGCCGATCTGGCTTTCGTCTTCACCAAATCCACAAAAAGCATCACTGAATTGAAGAACGAGAACCGTGCTGGTCTACCCCTGTTCTTCATTGTCTAGCCCTCTTCTTCATCAAACTCGTCAAAGCCACCACCAAATCAAATATCAAAAAACACGTCGATCCGGACCACATCTTCACCCGATGCACCAAGAATCAAAAGACAATGCACGTGAGAAGCACGCTAAAGAGAGTCAACACTACTTATTCTACTTAAAGTCAATCAAATTGACTATTGTAATTTTGACATTACTTTTGTGATATATTACACACAAAGTTTGTTGTTACAACTATCAAATGCATTTTCTTGGCCATGCACTAGCCCAAAAATGTTAAAAATTATATCATCCTCCTTCAGGTAGAAAATTCATTTATATGGATGTTATTTTATTCGAGAGCATGTCTTATTTTTGCCCCATGACCCTTTGGGACAAAATTTGAATGAAGCCTTAGATTGTTATGTTGCTTGTTCCCTTCTTTCAATTGGAAGTTGGAACACAAGCAAGAGAGTAATGAAGAGCAGAAGCAAGATCCCAAAAGGAGTTGAGAGTCTATTCGAGAGGATAGAAGAATAAGACTATTACTCTTTCCTTCTCGATTTGGTAATCATTACACAATTTTTATTCTTGATTTTGATTTAATTAAAGTTTTATTCTTAATCTTGATTTTGATATTCGCACTACTATTTGTAAGGGTGTTTGGTCTTGTACTCGCTATCATATCTCTAAGGATCAAAATTTCATTTTGGAGTACTTTTTCCGTCAGCTAGAAAACCGAAACATTCAAAACATTAGTCTCAACATTTGCAAACATTTAGAAACACGATAGAAACAGGAAAAAAAAAAAACTTGAAAATTTATCTCCAAAACATTAATAGAAATATAGCTACATATCTTGAAACCCCGCCAAACATTTAGAAACATTAGTCTAAATATGTCGAAACATCTAGAAACATTCTGAAACACAACGAAGCATTGAAATTTCGATTCAACAACTGATTTATTTTGATCTCCTTGGAAATTAAAACGTTTCAATTGTTTCAAAAGAAAATTTTGACACTTGCCTATCTATAATTTTGTCTATTTGGATCAGTTCTCACAATCTGATTTTGTTTTTGCATCTTAATTTTCTTCTTTATCTTTTCCTCTGGATATAAAAGATTCCCTATAAAGACCCCAAGTAAAAATAAGTGAAGTGTGAAAATATGAGTGAACTCCAGAAGAATAACACTTCAAAATTGCTTGGGTTACTCGAAGAAGAAAAAGGCAACTTGGATATAAGTGGAGTGTGTACTCTGAGACATAAGGAGGTTTTCTTTGGCTGCAAATTAGAATGGTGTCTCGACCAACTTGATATGAAGAATGCATTCTTATACAGAGATCTAGAGGAGAATGTGTTTATCAATGTTCCCCAAAGATTTGAGCATGCCTCGGATAATAGCAAAGCATGCAAATTGAACAAGTCATCATGTACGTTAAAGCAATCTCAAATAGCATTTAACGTACACCTGTTGATATAGGTTGTTTAGACAAATACACCTATTGATATAGGTCGACACCATAGGTTGGTGGACAAAAATCTTCACATTCTCGTTTAGATATAGATTCTGCATTTAGTTTGGTAGTTCAATTTATACACTAATCTAGTTAGTTACAAATAAATGAGATCCATAGAATTTTGAGATCCTAAAAGTGGAAGTTTACACAAATGCAAGTTGAGCCGAATCAATTACACAGAAAAGACCTAAATCTTAGATACTATATTTTTGTGTGGAAATTTGGTAATATGGCATAGCAAGAAATAGTCAGTGTTGTATCTCCATCAACTACAAAAGAAGAATTAGCTAATGGTGTCTATGAATTACTATTGGTTACATCCATATTGAAGAAGTTTGGTTGTGGTTTAGAGGGGCTGATGAAATTTTACTTCATAATAAAAAGGGTTAAAAACCAAGTAAAAACTAGACTTACTGAGCCTTAAAAGGTGTTACTCAAATAGAATCCGATACATGACTCGTTCTATATTTTCAAAAATGCATTTAAGGTTTAGAAAAAATTTTCTTTAAAAAAATCTAAAGAGTCATTCATGGATTTTTCCAATTTCATTTTATTACCCTAATCATCTTAAATCTAATGAATTAAATCAATGGTTCTTAGGTCTCTAAGGTCATTACCTTTGTCCTAAACTTGAAGGTGCATTCGGAGTGTAAAAAACTAAAACAAAGAAGAGAGAAGAGAAGAAGAAAATATCTTATTGCATAATAAGTTAGGTTACAGCCTACTTAATTGCATACACAATAGACACCTTATATATTAGGGCAACACAAAACAAATTAAGTGACTAAACTATCCCCAACACTAAATGGCTAAATATAGTCCAACATTCTCCTCAAACTCATGATGTGATAGCAGAGAACATCAATAGCTTGCCAAGTAGAAAACAAAAGTGCGTGGGACTTTATGAAGGGATCCATCAACTGCATAGTAGAAAGAAAAAAAGGGACAGAGATAGTGCCTAGTTGTAGGTGATGACACACAAAGTGGTAGTCAATCCTAATATGCTTTGTGCGCTCATGAAACACAAAGTCATGAGCAATCTGAATAGCATTGGTGATGTCACAATACATAGATGTAGAAGCAGATAAAGAGATGTCAAGATCAGCATGTAGTCAACGTAACCAAACTATTTCAACTGTAGTAGAGGTCATAGCACGATACTCAAATTTAGCAGAATAAGGAGCAACGATAGTTTGTTTCTTACTTTTTCAAGAAATAAAAAAATCTCAAAGGAAGAGACAGAAATCCGTGGTGGATTTACGATCTATTGAGTCACTAGCTCAGTCAGCTTTAGAATAAGCCCGGAGCTCTATAGGAAAGGTGGAAGAAAATAATAAACTTTGGTGCATGGTGTCCCAAGACATCACAGCATGCGAAGGACAACAACCTAGTGAACAATAATAGGGGAAGTAGTGGGAAGCAACAAATTGACTAACGACATGCACTGCATATGATATGTCTGGACGAGTAACCGTAAAATATAACAGACTGCCAACAATATTATGGTAGAGGGTAGAATTAGGCAAGAAAATATCATCAGATGAAGAGTAACGAACATTGAGTTCTAAAGGTGTCTCAATTTTCTGATTATCTGACAAGAGGGTTTGTTGAATTAACATCCGATGTATACTTAGATTGGGAGAGAATATAACATTTGGGAGAAGAAGCAAGCTCAATCCCTAAAAATATTGAAGCTGACCCAAATCTTTCATCTCAAAATGATCCTACAACTAGTTTTTCAACAATAGTATATGGCTAAATATAGTCTAACACGGAGAACTTGATACAACTTTGTCTCCCCCCAGCTTTGGCGCTTACAAATCTTGATTTTTTAAGCTTGATGACCTTTAGGTTAAAATCACATAAGACTTCATAAAATTAACCAATTACAAACACGATCCTAACAAGAAAAATTCATTTCATGATTCAACTACATTTGTGCATGATTAGCTCCTCATGCAAATCCAAAGCAATTTAGAAAAAAACAAGCAAATACAAAAGCCATACAAAAAGAGTAATATGATCAAAGACATAGTGTCCTTCTTTGTACACACCATAGTGGTGAGTTCATCTTCCCCCCCCCCCCCCAACAAAAAAAAAAAAAAACAAAAAACAAAGCAAAACAATAATGCTAGCAGCTGTGTGGACAAGCTCCTCATACCCTTCGACATATAATCCATGACAGTAAATAAAGCACATATATCAGCCTCTCAAATCAAGCTAGGTCTTATTTTTGGAAAAAGGGGGTAAACATCATAACAAGATCAATAAATAGCGAAGTCCAGTAGACAAATAGCCAAGATATGGAAGATCTTCTGTTTGAGCAAACAGACAATTTAGACAAGTGGAAAGACTGACATGTCAAACAAGTATTCATCCCTGTGAAGCATCAGAATTGCTACACAATCTCCACTGTTGAAACCGTATAAATATATTAGCATGAAATTAAGGTATGGGTAATTGGGAACTCAAACATGACATTCCAATCAATCATATATATTGATGGCTATATTCCAATAGCCACGACATGAGAGGAAGCGGAAGAGAAAAAATTTAAAAAAAAAAATGAAAATTGAGCAACAGAGGAGTCAGTCAAGTAGCTGATATATTTGTCAACACACCACCGTAACCCGCATGAGTTCACAAGTACTACCTAATGGGTACAATATGGACACACCATTGCTAGATATATTTCTAACAAAACCAAAAGGATTCTTAATAAGAAGTCCAGGGACACATCACATTGCTCACGTTACAAACCTTACCTTCAAGGTGGGAAAAGAATTTAGCGAGTCAATAGAAGCCAGATCCTCAATATTATTAGATCCTGAACAATGTAGATTAAGCAACCAATTTAAAACCACACAGTAGGAAAGCAAGAATTCAGGAAGTGCAGCATTATAAAGGAGTTTAAGAATTACCTAGAAGAAGGCAGCGCAAATTTTGAAAAGGCCTATTGCTTTTCTCAAGGGATCCACAACCATTGAGCAGTTCATGTATTGTATCACAATTAGGGTACCAAATGCGGTGTAAATTGTTCTTATTCAAATGAAGCTTCTCCAAGCTGAATGCAGGAACAAATTTTGAGCTTGTAAGAACTCAAAACTTGTAAATAAATGTTTGCCGGAAAAAAAAACTGAAAAGTGATTCTGATACCTTCTTACTTGAGAAAGCTTCAAGATCTCATCCCAGTTGGATATATAATTATCTTCTAAATTAATAAGCCGCAGAGACCCAAATTGTTGGACAGTGATGGAAGTTGTCCGCTGGAAAGAAAAGAAAAACTACCTTAGGGATAAATAATAAATAAAAACAAGTGTCCCAGTAGTACAGTAAAAAATCCAGTGCAGTCATTCAACATTCAGAAACTACACAGGTGAATGACTACAAACAACTAATGGTGCTACATAAAATGGAAACTCATTCAGAAAAATTCATTATACATTCTTGCTTACCAAATTAGATCTGCAGCATATTTCACTGAAAAAGTGAAAAATAATAACCAGTTAATACGCCAATTCAATAGAACTTGCTCAGCTTAAATTTCTTCATTCTAATGCAAGGGTTTCTCCCCATGATGCCAGACAACCTTTACCCACTATTACGTTGCTTTGCTTGATGGTTTAATCAGCACAATAGTATATTGGCAAATACAAGGAGTTTCCATTGGATGTTCAACACTAAATATTTTGCCATTTTAAGACTTAATAACATGGTAGCTATAACATTCTCATAGAACAGAACAAAGGCACAAGAATTGCTATGCCAGTGGGAACCGAACAAAGACACACATCACATTCTCATGGATAGGGATTGCTATGCCCAAGTGTCCCCCTCTCGCTCGCTCCTTCCCTTATTAATGCTTTAGGAACAAAAAACCAAGTGCCAGTAATGGACATCAACGTTGTTGAGGAATCAGAATGTTATTTATGAAATTGCCAAAATCATGGACCATGTTGAGAAACAACTTTAACAAACATCAAAAGATCATAGGAAGCTCCAAACCCAAATGGTCAATGACAATGCACAACTTCTGGTGACAATGGACAATCATTGAACAGAGAAATGACAACAGATCAACAAGAATAACAAGAACAGAAACCGATCACCCCGGCAACAATGCCACCTTAGTCAACAAGTCACAAACACGAATAGTAATAGATGACACAGCGGCCTATCAACTTCTGTGATCAATGACTACGGATTATTCTTTCTTGGATTGTAACACAATCAGCACTCAGCCAACGACTCCAACATCAGCTCCCAAACATTGTTCACTAGTCATGATCTTCATCTTCGAACACACAGCCAACACCAAAATCAGAGATCAAACAAAACAGGCTAGGAACCAAAGATTCAATCTACCCAAATCACTGGAAAGATAACACCTAAGAAAAAATAAGGGAAAAAAAAGGGGGTCTGCCAAATACAAGCACTAGGGATCTAACTTTGATACATGTTACGTTCGGTGGTTGATGACAGAGAAAAGATTCTGAGAATTGTGTGTGAGGAAAAGAATATGAACCCTACCTCTCACTCTTAACTTGAATATATATACATCACAATAAAGAACGAAAGGCCTGGTATATCCTTGAATAGTACTCTTATTACAATAGCAGAAATAATATACAACTTAACAATTCTGAAAGAATAGATATAATCTTAAAAGAATTTTTTATCAGAGCAGTCACTGACAGTTTTTCCCTTTTCTTACTTCATGGAGTTTATTTAAGAGAAATAGTCATAATCTCAGAGGAGTTGTCGCAGATCTGTCAATCCTGGTAAATGAATTTGCATATCCTTCTTAATGTCTGAATGTCTACAAAGCTGTTCTTGTGTTTAGAGTCAGATTTTCATATTGCAGGTATTTTACGGGCTTACTAACCTACATTGGCACACCTTTAATCCAAAATACCATACCGTTATTTCCCTCAACTTATTTCCCATCAGATGTAGCTCTTCAATCACTGGAAGAGAATTTCTAAGTATTTCAACCTGCCAAATCACATGGATAAATTATAATTAAAACTAAAGTAAACTGAACTACCAAAATGATGAAATGAAAAGAATAGGATGGCTCACCTGCATCCAGTTTATGCCAGTATTGTTCAACACTAAGACGCGCATATTCGTTAGTTGGAGCATCTCAATTCCATCATTTGATATAAAATTGTGGGATAGATTGAGAGCTGTAAGGGCTGGTAGCTCTCTGCAGATGGCAGTGACAACCTGCAAAGAAAGGCCAAATCACACAAGAGAAGTAGTCATTAAGCTTCAAGCAGCCAGTGACAAAACGTTTCACAATAACAAACAGATGCTTGTCTGTCTTTTATATAACCCTTTATAGGGTGTGCACTTCAAGCGAGAACAGAATGGAAAACATCTCAACAGTTAGATATCCACAGTTTTCAAAAGCAGAGCTATTGAAATCTCGATGATCAATTACAGTAAGAAAGAAAAAACTTTTTTACCAGAAGACGAATAAACCTATTTCTTCTGTCATTTCCAATATATGATAGGTACTCTCAAGGCACAGAGTAGTTATCGAAGTTATTCACTTAAGACTAAAGTTAAGGAATAAGGAGAGCCTGTAGACAAAAAAGAAACAAGCTCAACAACAAAAGCTTTGACAGGCATTCATTTTGCACGTTTACAAATGCATAATGTCTTCCCTAAGACATGACTTCTTGTACCAAGAGTCAATATTCAACATCACCCCCAAGGAAACCTATTTAGGCCCCCTGATTTCTTGTTCTGATTTACTAAGATAAAATAGTTTATTATAGTGTTGTCAAAATGTTACGAGTTTAAAATATTTCCGAACGGCAGGAAAAGTAGACGTCAAAAGAAGACCCTATGTGACTTCAGTAGATCCCATTTGAAAAACAAGGTAAGAACCCATGAATAGGGTGAAAGATCTGGACCAATGTTACTTGGATCGTGGGTCGACTTGGTACATGATGTAGGTACAAGTACGTGGTATAATACTTCTTCCAATACACTATACGATGGGGGTAAACTTGGTTGGTATGATGTTTTGGGTTGTGGTTCGTTTTGTAACTTTTGTATAAAATAATACACCCATATACAAATAGTTAACAAATATTTATTTTATATCTTTGGTAAGTGTTATCAGTTTAAAGTATACAAAAATAAAGAAATAACAAGTTAATGTTATGATTTAAGGTTGGGGTTATGATATGCCGATTTGAGTTATAAGCTATAAGTTGGGGTTAGGACTTTGAACGATCTAGATCGCGAACCTACCTCGTTTCGAATTGTACGACCCCGGTTTGTGGAATGCTAGGAGTGTCTACAATCCTAGTTAAACGACTGGTACAATAGTCTCAAATGCATACTACCATTAGCAAGGTGAGCACTCATCTTGTCACTTGTGAGGCACGCTTCAGTTTATGTAAACCATATGGATTTTACAAAATCTTAATGGATTACGAATACTAGAGTTTTATTTTTAGGGTCTGCAGCTAAGCCATGCAGTATAATAGGTATGAGAGTAAAATGGATAGCCTAGATGGTCATTTGGGTATTTACATATCTCCATGGAATTTGGAATATGAAATGATGGGGATTTGATTCCTAGGTATAGTTTATCCAGTGTTGGAGATATAGCAGCTTAGTTTATTAGGGCTTATTAAGTTTTTTCTTTTTTACTTTTTTATCCTTATTGTAACTTTCATTGGCTATATATACGGGGGCTCTACACTTAGTTTGTATCTCTTTTTCTCTCTTCTACATATTTCAAGTTAGTATCAAAGTCAAACTCTAACTTTAACCTAACCCTAGCCTCCACCAAGACTGCCTCACCGGCAAACTACCTTCAAGCAAAACAGTCACTGCTCACTGACAAAACCACCAACCCAAAGCACTGCCCCCCAACCCAGCCACTACCAAAATCACCCAGCCATCAACCCGCCCCACCAAACCGACCTGCTGCATCCCACCGACTGCCCCACACCAAAACCATCTAAACCGACTACCGACTGCCCCATACCAAAACTAACCACTGTCCAGGCCACACTGACAGCCTGCTGCATCCCTCCAACTACCTTATACCAAAACCAATCACTGCCCAGACCACACCGACAACCTGCTACATCCCTGCTGCACCGAAACATCATTATCTCCAGCTGGGTCACTGTCCAGCCTAAACCCAATATACCACATACCAATCCACAGCCCGAACCAGCCCACTGCTGGGTCACTTACCACAGACCAGCCCATTCATCAGCTCACTGTTGGGTCGCGATTTTTGTGGCTTCGTCCTTCGCATTCTTCGTCACAGTGCTGTCAGGCTACAGTATCTAAGACTTTTTAAAGAAGGGTTAAATTCTCTTCTTCGTTGATATGCTCTTGATGCAGTAAATTATTTATTTATATTTATTAGATTTCTGAGTACCGTGACCTGATTATTTGGAAGCTTTCTGGACCTTCTTTATTTGTCACTACTATTCGACTAGAGGTATATTGTTCTCCCTTATTTTATTCCTTTATTTATCTTAGAGTTATTTTTCTGTCACGAGTGTCCTAGTATTATTGATGATATGATTACTACTGAGGGAGTTGAGATCCCTACCGTTGAGACATCTGTTAGTACTTCCACCCAAGGGCGGAACCAGAAATGTATTTTTGGGTGGGCACACTTAACCAATAAAATTTAATTTTTTCTCTAATCAATAAAAGTATTGTGGTACATGTTTCTTTTTTTTTTACATCATGTTGCATATTTATAGATTCATTAAATATAAAAAGGTCAAACATCAATATACGTAATCTATGCAAACAATACTCAATAAAAATAGGCTAATTACAACGGTTTACAAAAAATTAGGCTAATTATAGCCATGTATAATGGACCCTGACAATTGATAACGTTATTAATAATGTTATCGAAAATGTCTTACTCTATTTAAGTAATTAAGTTAATAATAATCAATTTTAGGCTAAGTTTGCATCAATTTTAAAAAATTATAGCAATTTTAAACAATTATGAATATTATAAGATTGAGAGTTATCAAAAAAAAAAAAAAGGCTCAATCACTAGTCGCAACTGTTGAACATATTTTCATATTTCTTTGAGTGAAAAATATGCTCAATTATTTTTTTTGCAAAAAATTTAGTTGGTTCTAACTTATTAAAGTGGATTTAATAATTTTGGTTTTTGGTCATGAGGGTGGGCCTAATTCCAACTACCCAATAAAAAACCATATATATACAAAGGTAAAATTTTTTTTTTTTTTAAGATGGGTATGTGCCCCCCTAGTCCCTATGTCCCTCTGCCCTTGCTTCTATCGGATATAGGGGTCGACAACGCTCGGCCCAACACCGTCAGGATACCCTACATTAGCGTAGATATGGGGATTCCCGTCAGTGTGATTATTGTAGCCGACTAGGACATCTCAGGGCTTCTTGTTGGAAGCTCTATCCGGAGCTTAAGCTGCCTCCTCACAACTGTACTGCTACCATTGCTAAGGCAACACCACCTACAATCATTGCTCCTGCTACTACTGCTACTGCTCCTCCTTGGCAGAGTAATATGGATGCTATCACTTCTCGTTTAGATATACTTATGTCAGCCTTGACTTCTCAAGGTTCAACTAATACTACTGCCATTACTATAGGTATACCTCGTGTCTTTCATACTTGCGCCAGTCCTTCTTCTCTTTGGATGTTGGACTCGGGTGCTAATGATCATATGACAGGTAAGGACCATCATTTCACCTCTTTTGACGAGCAATTACATACTCAAGTTCAGTTAGCAGATGGTACACATGCCCCTATTGTTAGTAGGGATACAGTCCGCCTCCCAGATGGCTTTACATTACGTTCGGTGTTTCATGCGCCAAAGCTGACCATAAATCTATTATCTATACATCAATTAGCCAAAGATAGACTTATCTACCTAGTCAACACTAGGCCAGACATTTCATTCGCTGTCAGCCAAGTTAGTCAGTTCATGCACAAAACCATGTCAGCCTCTTCTTGATGCAGTTTATTATATTCTTCGGTACCTCAAGTCTTGTCCTGGACTTGGGTTGTTCTATGCCTCAGGATCTTAGATTGATTTTCTAACTTGTTATTCAGATTCAAATTATAGGGGAGCATGTGACGGTCGATCTACTACGGGCTTCTGTGCTTTTTGAGGGACTCATCTTATCTCTTAGAAGGGCAAAAAACAGTCAATTGTCTCTCGCTCGTCAACAAAGGCAAAGTATCAGGCACTGGCACTTGGCACATATAAGATTATCTGGCTACGATCAATTCTTGGCGAGTTGGGACTTCCAGTGACTTCTTCATCTACATTATATTGTGATAATCGATCTGCTAATCAGCTCGCTTCTGACTCTGTATTACACGAGAGGACGAAGCATATAGAGATCGATGTTCACTTTCTTCGAGAGAAGGTTAGCAGTGGTATTGTCACTCTACCGTTTGTGGGGACTAGTGATTAGGTTGCGGATGTTTTCACCAATCCTATCACTCTATCCATTCTTCGGGACTCAATTGTTAAACTTGGCTTAGTTGACATTTTTACGCCTAACTTGAGGGAGAGTGTTAGAGATATAGCAGCTTAATTTATTAGGGTTTATTAAGTTTTTCCTTTTTTACCTTTTTATCCTTATTGTAACTTTCATTGGTTATATATACGGGAGCTCTACACTTAGTTTGTATCCCTTTTTCTCTCTTCTACATATTTCAAGTTCCAGTGATCCTTGAATAACATAAAACTGTGTGGAATAGGCCTTGTGTGAGTAAGAAGATCACAAAGTTTGTAGTTATCCATAGCACAAGGGATTTTGATTACTTTTTACTTTCAAGTAGCAGGAATGTTTTCTTCAAAAGAAGTTGTTATGCCAATTCTGGAAGAAAATTGATCCATCATACTAGAATATACTTTTCTTTGCACACTGATTTATGCTTGTTTTCTTTGGCCAAAACAACTTGACTTGTTATGGCCCGAAACTGCATAGACTATATTATTCGCTTTGGGCTAACATAGAATTAAAACATTTCCCACAAAGGTACAAATCTCATACTTATAAAGCACCTTACACACACTACACCAAGCAATGTGGGACAATGTACAGGGACTTGGCACACATGGTGATTCAAATTACCAGCCATATGCAGATACAATGAGGCGAGTCATATCTAACATGCCAACTTATGCTCTAATGCCACTCGGTTGGATCGTCCGATACATCTTCGAGCCGACCCAAAGTTAGAGTTATCATCACTTGAATCGGTTGATACAGTTTTACAATGCCGAATTATGAGTTCAATCTTGTCTTTGGTGTGCCCTTTCATGTGTATCGCTCAATACAGTTCCACAACACCATAACCAATATGTACCAGGGTCATCTAAGTCAATGGCCATTATTGTGCCCTTGAACCAGCACCCATACCCTATCTCACTTCATGTCACCTCATCCATCTCAACCCCATGCCTCAGGGCTCTTGATCTCTGATGTAGTACCTACCTTAAATTTTTTTAGGTAACCCAAGACATAAGAGGCCAAGACTATTGAGGCATAGGGTCAAGATAGATGTAGTGCGATGAGGTGAGATAGAAGCACCAAATCCAAGTACCTTGTTTCACATCACTGGGTGAAGTGTTTGTGAGTTGTTTTATAAGTGTCAGTTTTACATCTTCATCGTATGATGCAGTTTAGGGTCATACTGACCTATCCAAAGTAAACCACACAGTGCAATGGGGATCCCAAGTATTATAAATGGTACCACAACTAGAACCAATCCAAAATATGAGATAGGTCCCAAAGAAATACAAGTGGCCCCAAAAGGGGTGGATTGTGATGACCCAAGATTTAGGAGTTCAAAAATCTCATAAGAGTGCCAAGTCCATGTACCTTGTTTCATGTTGTTTGGTGAAGTGTGTGTGAGGTGTTTAATAAGTGTAAGCTTTCGGACCTTAATTGTACGATGCACTTAAAAACCATACAGACGCCTACCCCAATGTAGACAATGTTATACACTGTTAATACAATTTTACACAATGCTAATAGATTAAAAATACAAGGTTTTTAAGAACCAAAAAAAAAAAGAGTAATAGGTTTATGGGAGGTATGAGAGTAAAATAGAGAGCTTAGATGATGTTTTGGGTGTATATGTCTTTGTGAAATTTGTAAGTACGAAATGAGGTGGGGATCTAATTCCTATGTCGTCTATCCAATGATTCTTGAAAACAACATGGGTTGGGCTTTGGGAAGATAAGCAGATTATAAGTTCAAGGTTATCCTTTGTGGCTTCCCTTTGGGTGCCAACTATAAAAGATGTTAAGGAAGTGCCATTTATTCTCTTAGTATATTGGATCGCAGAATGTAACGAGGATTATTTCCACCTATTTTATAAGGATATAACGTCTAAATGTATTGTCTTCTATTAGTTTCCCTTGTAGGGCGAATTCCTTGTCCACCTCTTTGCACATTTTCCATTGTTCAATGGATGTTTTGTTTCCTATCCAAAAAAAAATGTTCCCTTCAAATAAGTAATTTTGTTGATTCTTGAAGGAAAATGGATCTATGATCCTGCGATCTACTTTTTTCTCTTCTCATTGATTCATAATTGTTCTCTTTGGCCCAATTCTTGAAGGAGGAGAAAGACCAAATAAACCCCTCCGTAGGACACACTCACCACCCCACTCCAACTTTTTGAATTCCCCCAATTGAGATGGATGATTTTTCAGGCCCAAAATACCCCTTCGATGATTTTAGGCACCTTAGAATAACTCTTGTTCAGACCATACCTTGGCATTGAATCCAACCTCTTTCTCATCAAATAGCTCCCCAACTCCAATGATGGAATCATCCACTCTTGATTTTTTATTTAGAGGACAAGTCTTAATCAAATTGGGCCTCATTAACGTTGAAACAGCCTTCATCCATATCTTCATCGCTCGCATCTCTCAAATGGAGAGCACCAATCGCTCCTTGTTCTTCACTTCTGTCAAATTCCCTCTCCTCGAATAGATCAAAATTTGTTCACTTCATGATTCCTTCCTCCAAATTCCAAAGCAGGTCCTTGTTTAAGTGTTAAAACCTTTTCCACTTCTAGGACTAGACTCCGCACCTTTCAATTCGAACCTTTGAATTGAGATTGCCACTTCTCATAAAGGCCATTGAAGTAGCCTAGCCTCATCAATTTTTTTGGTACCCTTTCATCTATTAAACTCTTCTCGAATTACCCAATTTAAAAACAGGATTTTTTGGCCTCATAGTCAACTGGTCTTTAGAGAAAGCAACGGGTTATTTAAACAAAGGTCCATCTTTCTTAGGGTCTAGCATATTGGAGTTTGAAACATTACTGTCCAGAATCTTTAAGCCCAACCCATGCCCAATGATAGAATTACAATTCCTTCTGTCTTTTAAGTGGCCCAGCTCAATGACCCGAGCCTAACCCACAATTCCATAACAATTAATGCCCCTAACCTATTTTAATTTCCCATTATCCTTATTAGTGGCTGATTTGAAGTTTCAATTCTAAATTAAAGAACCAGTATCTAGAGCTTTGTCCTCATTTATGGCAAACCGCCTACTAACTCAGGTGTTATCCCTCCGACCCATCTATTTGGAACAAGAGCCCTCCAAGTTAACCAATAGTCTCATCATGTCCCCGTGCAATCACCATTGTCCCTGTGCTACCACCATTGCCCAACTGTCACGCATTCTCTTCTTCTCAACCTTATCGTCTTCAACTTAGAATTAGTGCACCAGAGTTGCGTGAAATTTTCTGCGACCAAACAATCACAACCACTGAATCCCCCACATCCTCCCCATCCTATAGTCCTAACCTCCACCTTATACGCCTTACCCGCTAAATCAAGGCTCAAAGAAGTCGGGAGGAAACCCGCAGTTGGTTTGACAAACTTGATTTTTAGCTTAAAAGGTTCCACAAATAAACCGCATCACAATCAGCTTCTAGGAAGCCTCTACAACAATCCACAATATTTTGAAACACTTCCATTTTCCAGAGGTCAACAGGCAAGCCATCAACAGCTACCCAACCCCCTGAAGATGGAAACCTTGTAGCGACCAGCATTTGCTTCAAGGACCCATTTCAGAAACCTAACCATCAAACCACTTTGCAAAAAGCAGCTTTTGAATTTTCCTATATCATTAATCTAATTCTCACCATCACAAAAGAAGATAGCCCGATCAAGAAGACATCAGCTTCAATATCAGATTCCATTGCAGACTGAATTTTTTTCTAAGAACCAAACACACTCTCCCTAAACACACCACTGTCATGCTCCATTTACCACACTCAAGGATTACCTTTTGATATTCGCCAGAAGCTTCCTTCAATCTCTCTCAGTTCTGAACTCTTCCAGAGTTCCCTTTTTTTGGCTGTAAAGGCTCCCCCATTTTTGGTTTCCATCATTGCCCTATTTCTGCTAGCCTCCAAGTAAACATTATAATCTCTATATCTCATAGAATTTTCCAAAATCACTTCTCCCAGTCTTATCCATCCCCATCCAGCAGAGCCTCTAGGAATCATCAAGCAATTAAGCCTGCCATTCGAAGACTTTTTAGAAATGTAAAAAATTCCTCTGCTATTTCTAATCTCCTCCACACACAAAAAAGTAATTGGCTCTGAATTTCTTGAACGAAGACCCTGAAGCCAATCCTGCATTCCTCAAACACTTCCCCAACCATTTACCACATTCCCAAGAATCAGAATATCAAAAAAGGCCTTACAGCTTCTACCCATGATTCGAAGGCCTAAGCTTCTTTGATTCTCAAATCTTTCTACCCTAAATCTTTTGCTTTCAATCCTGAATTCTACTCTTCTAGCTGTAAGATGATTCATCGACTATTCAAGAAAGATAGTATATAACATATTAACACTCAAGGGGCAGAGAAGGCAACGGAAGAGACACAACATCAGAATAGAACTGAAAGAGAACAAGAAAGTTAAGATTTTTATCAGAGAATAAAGAGAAGACCAAGATTGTGATATTTAGATTGAAAGAAGGTCAGAACTAATGAGAGGAAGAGTCTGCATCCCATAACACGGTTGCAACATTTATCAAATAAAGATGAAAAAGAAAGCTAAAATTTGTTGTTGTGCTGGTAATTGCTCTTTCATGAAGAGATGCACTTTTTACGCTAAAGCTAAAAATCAAAAGACCACATTTCTATCATTCGATTCTAAAGTGTGCTTCGAGGCTATCTACATGCTATATGTAAAGTATTGCTTCCCTATCTAGGAGCCAGTGGGGGACTCATGTAGAAGCTCTCTCCCTTGTGCCCTTGTGCTTACACCCCAATACTAGGACATAGGAATCAAAACAACTCTTAGCACTAGGGAAACCCAGTCCCCTCACTCTTTTTATCGAAAAGTGCTTTGAGATATCAACCATCTAAGATGTCCAATAGAATTGAAGCAATTGCTACACAATTCATGGATGCTTTATTCTTATGTGTTTTGTGTTTTATATTATTATATTTATCTACTGGCACGATGAACGTAATTTCCCCCTTTCTATAGTCAAAACAAATTTTGAATTGATAATTTAGTACTTGGATTTTCCCATGGTAAAATTGCTAAGAAATGACAGATATGTTTGATTCAAACACGACAAGGAGTTCACTAGACAAAACGAAAATACTAATCAGATTGCAAAAAAGCAATAAGTACTCGCCCCAAACAATAAAAGAGACGCCCAATGAGTCTCCCTCCACTGCGAGGACTGGGGAGGTTTTGATGTACATAGCCTCATCTCTGCATGCGGCGAGGATGTCTCCGTGACTGAAACCCATGACTTCCCCTAGGAAATATGAGTTAATTCTTGTCAACAAAATAAACTAGCAGTTCTACCCTTGTGCAGATACAAAGTTTTCTTTCTTAATTTTGAAATGTCTATACAGGTTATTAAGGCCATCAGGGAAGCATGTACTTTATGGCGAAATCAAATAGTTCACAAAATGACAGGTAATATTTGAGGAGTGAAACTGCACCAGGTAGAGTTGAGAGCAATATGACTACAGCTTTAAAAGGAAGATTTGTACAGAAACAACTATTAACATAGCAGCACAAACAAATATCCATTGCTAACACAAAATGTGGCTTTGTTAGTGATGCTAAGAAACATACTTTCCAGTCCGAAAGCAGATTTCCAGTCAAATCGAGCTCCTTTAGATCTGCACGGCATTTATGGTTTAACAGCAACCCAAATTTAATGGCAACTGAGAATCATCAAGCAACACAAGACAGAGCCAACTACAAGGGTATAAATTCATTAAAGATTATCATATTAAGAATTTATTAGAGGAAAAGCATAGATATGAGAAAAGAAGAAAGGTAGGCAAATGATAAATTATAGATCCCCAGCCTCCCCTTTCTGTGTAAAGAATTGAAGAATAAAGCATAATAAATGAAATAGGAAATACAGTGTGTAGAACAGCTTTACTAATATGTTCTCCAATATATAAAATGCAAATAAGCAAGAGTGTGAAACATGCATTTCTTCAATGGAAGGACGGCCAAAAATGATCCTGATAATAAACTAAGTAAAAGTAAAAGTGTAAAACCATCCAACATAACAGAGAAGGCAAAGTCAGGACTCAGGAGCATCCGAGGGAGAACTTGGATGCTCACCAGAAATGACTAATAGACAGATAGTTGTACTCACGCTGCTAAAAAGTTGAATTGCAGAAAGTAGAATTTACTCCCATTTCCTTGTTCTGTCCAAAATCATATCACATGTAGCATTCTGCATATTGAATTTTTCAACTTCCAAAAATGATTTCATTTTTTAGTTCAAGTGAAACAACCAAAACATCAACAATTCTAAATAACCACACAATTAAGGACCTATGTGACATGTTTCTCACTTAAGGAATTGTTTGTAGGTGTTTGCAAGTAAACATTGTGTCCAATAAAAATCTAGGGAAAAAAACAAGGCAACCACAGCAATAAAAACACTTCAGCACATTCTGAAAAATCATTAAGAAACTAGTCTCTAGTCGGGCCAAACATCGAACTGCTGGCACCATCTATCATCTAGCCACAGGCATCAATGATCAAACAGCCACTTTAAAGCTAGCAATGGTGAATCAATTGGTACTTCTGTCTCAATTTTCTCTTTATATCTTCAAATTTTTTTTTGTTGCCCTTCAGAAATTGCACATTCTTCACCATGTAATATATTTTTTTAAGATATATTTGAAATGATTCATAGCACTTCATTGGGGTAATGTAAATGTTACCTTGATAGTGACAGCAGAACAGGTTTTCAAAGTAATCCCCAATTATTCATTTATATCGAAGTAACTTTAATCTCTCCTCCAGTATTATTTTTTCATAAACAAATTCCCCCTCCCCCCCCCCCAAAAAAAAAAAAACAATACTTATTGTTGGACATCAAAGAGGCAGTGATGCTCTCTCCACACTTAGGAATGTTAGCAAAAACTTATTGATAGAGATCGAAAAGGGATTGGATGAACTTAAATTGAAGAATTGAATTTTATTATTTGTTTTAGTATTATTACATTAGTTAGGAAATATTTGTTTGATTAGGAATATTAATTAGAGTTTAACTAGGAAATTATTATAGAGTTTTAATATGATAGGAATTTGAGAGTTTGTTTATGAAAATATTTTAGAATTTTATTCGAATACTAGTTTTTATTTTGGAAGGAGACTTATCTTATAAATATTGATGTATTCCTACTATTTTCATTAGAGAGAGATTATGAATATGAATTGATTATTTTCTGCGGAGATTTTGTGTGTTTCTTAACCGATCCCTTGCGAAGATGATGTAAATTTCTTCCGCTCCTTCTTATTGCTTCTTCTCTTTCCATTCTCTGATTTTTACTCCTCCCCGCTCTACATCACTTACACTTTCACTGACACTTTACTCTTCCATATTATCTCCAAGGTGCCTAACATAGGTAAAGATTTTTCATTGACAACAACATGAAAGTAAGATTTGCAAGAAAAGTCACTAGAAGAATCAAGGGTCTACACTTTTTTATCCCCCATCCCTGACATTAAGGAAACCAATTGAAAGTTCCGAATTCCAACACTTTCCTACCATTCAACACTCTAAAGAAGTCAAAAGTTCCACCCCCCAGGACTTAAAAGAATCAAAATACATGCTTGCAATAGAACCTTCTTGAGACGGAATTAATCTAAAAAGATACGAAAAAGGAAGAATCATTTTCATATGTATCTTTCCAAAACTGAATTATCTCCCCGCTGCCCACCCAACCAAAAATATACTTCATCAATCCATCTAAACATTGTGAAAGAATTTCTAAGGGTGCAGAAAGGAGTCTCTAACCACTTTATTCGAGTCTCAACCATTCGAATGAAGTCCACGTTTGCTATTGATTAACTCTTGCAACAAAGCACCCGATTCAAGTGAAAACCTCCATAACCACTTACCTACCAATGTTACACCAACTTCACTTCGAAAACCAACACAAGGACAACTTGCAATACCAAAAACTACATGATCGCCCATTACAATAGACATGCATTTGGAAGATCCTTTTTCCAAGCCAGTCTTCTCTAATCATCTTCATATGGTTGAAAGATGATGTATCAAGGACCAAAAACTCGTTTCGAAGTAGTCGAAACATTTTTGTTTCCAAGTAGACCGAAAAGAATTAATCATTGCATCAAAATTTCAATGCATTGATATGTTTTAGAATGTTTTGAAGTGTTTCAAAATTTTTTGGCATATTTTCACCAATGTTTCGAAGTGTTTCAAGATATTTTAGTATATTTTAATCAATGTTTCAGAATATTTTGGAAATGAATTCCTAAATTTTTTATATAATTCCATTATATTTAAGAAACGTTTTCAAAACTTTTTCGAAACACTTTCAAAAGGTTTTCGTTCTCTAAGTGACCAAAACAAAATTTTAATCGTTGGATGTATAACCACAAAACATTATTGCTTTTCATTGTTCCTTTATAAGTCTTCTTCAAAAGTCATTTAAGCCATTTACTTAGTTTGTCAAGTATAATTTTTAAGCGACAATTTTTAAGCGACAGAGGGAAAATATGGGTAGAAGGAAGTAATATTGTTGGACATTCTGAGGATCTTGAAGGAACGCAGATGGGTGATGTGGTAGCCTTAGAAACAAGAAAATTTCTGGACTGGAGCCCGATCAGTTTCTTGGCTGGTGGGAATTTTGAAGATGGCTTACGGGTGTTACCGAGAAGTGATACTTGACTTGAGAAAGAGAGCATGTAAAGATAAGGACAAGTGTATCATATGGGCCAATCCTTTAATATAGACAAATGGTTAACAACAAACAGGTTTTCAAATCATGGGATTCATACATTCCTTGTAACAAGAGAGCAAATAAAGCATAATGAATATGTATCATTGAAACTATGATTAAGCTTTTGACAACTACTAAATGAAGGTTTCACAATACAATTAAAAAAAGATAAATCAAGTGGAAAAGGCAACCAACTTACCTGGTACATACATACTAATTTGTCCCGAAACTCCAGAACAGCTAACCCCTAAGTAAGATAGGGATACACTTGTCAACTCCTCAAAGCGACTCAGCTTGTCTTGAATTTTATCTTTGCCCAAAAGCTGGACTGCTACACGTTTATTGCTTGCAGAAAGAACATACATTTCATCTGCAACATCATAAGACACAATATTAAAATTAGTCGTTTCGACAAAACATAGGGCATCATAGGAGAGAAACCATAGCAACACATGTGGGAGGAAGTAAGATCATTGAAGAGAACAATTTGCGTAGCCTGCCAATACCTAACTATATAGGGAAGCATTGTTAAATGATACCTTCTTCTTCTTTGGTGGAAGTGGTTCGATATCTGATTTCAAGAGCTTTTAACAGAGAAATGCCGGAGCTCAAGTTATGGGGGCGAACAAACGACGCCGATTTGGAAGATTTGGCTTGGAAATAAAAAACCCCATTGATGGACCCATCATGCTTGCCATCCTCATTGTCCCAATCAATGCCGACCCAGGTCCCTGAATAGCCTTCCACGGGCCCTATGTATTTCACTGTGCCGATTCGACGTGTGTCTCCAACCGAGTGGATCCGCTGTCCAATTCTGAACTCAACCGAGTAGGATTTTGCAGTCTCGGACCCAGAAAATCCTTGCATTCTCAGACTTCACTACTATGCCTATGTAGGAGAAGGATGACCAGTTAGTGGCGATGAGAACCTAGTGTTAGGTCCATCTGCCTCAGTTTTCTTCAACCTTCTGGTACATTGCTCTTGCAACTTGAAGCTAGTGAGCCTGAACTCGAGTGCCACAATTTGGAATATAGTACATCTCACCTGAATTATAATACCACTTCTCCTGGATGGTACTGAAATAGGTCTATTAGTAGTTAGTACAGATCTGGGTATTAAAAATGTACAGTTGGTATATGTATTTAAAATAATACTATACATAGTTGGTATTAAGTGTTCGACAGGCAATTACTGTCTCTCTCTGTGTGTGTAGGTGCATCTGTGGGTGTTGGTGTGTGTGTAAGTGTGGATCTCTGTGTGTGTTTTCGGGCGTTTGTGCGGGTGTGTGTGTTTCTGCGTGTTTTGAGCCTGTGTCTGTGTATATGGATCTCTGTGTGGGGGTTTGGTTTACCTTTTTTTTTAATTTAATTCAGTTTTTTTTTTCTGGTAAAGTTGCTATTGCATTTTTTTCTTGGTTTACAGAAGCACTCTGCTTCTCCGCAAATAAGAAAGCTTGTTTGTATTCTCAAACAAACTGGCCTAAAAAATAATATTAGGTTTATCCATTCGCAAAGATCCGAAATCCCACTAAATTTTAACAAAAAGAAAAGCCCGAAACCCAGAACATCAACAAAGGAAATACCCAACGGCGTATAAACTTCGAATATCTATTTGGGTGTGTGTGGCTAACTAAGAATAGGAGGTGTGTGCGAATCTCTGTTTTTATGCGTGTGCGTCGATTTTGTGTGTCAAATATGTGTGTGTAAGTTACACGTCCAAAACTTCTTGTAAACTTCCTTTAGGCATTACAATAAACACTTCATGTGCATTATTCAGATCGATGCAATGTGGCAGCCGGCTGTGCTTGTCGTGGGAGGGGTCTGGATTTGATGAAGAGGGTGGAGGCGAAAGAGAAAGCATATGTCTGTGAATCTGTGTGAGTGTGTCTCGTTGGTGCATCGATTTCGTGAATGTGTGTGCGTTGCAGGTGTATGTGAATGTGTGAATATGAATCTGCAACTCTCTGTGTCTGTGTAACGCTGTGTTTGAGGTGGTGGTTTGTGTGGGGGGGCGGGGTTGTGGGGCGGCAGAAGGTGGTGATTGTGGTGGTGGAGGATGAGAATTGAAGAAGAGAGAGGGATAATACCTGCGAGAGGGATCTTCGGAGTTGCCGTCGTCGCTGAGAGAAGGAAAGAAGAGAGGCGGGGGAAGGGTATAAACGAGTAGAGATCGAACGAACCCGGTCTGAGTTACCGCTTTCTCGGGCACGGCTTGACTGCTGTTGCCGGGTAACAGCACACAGTGCGGTTAATGAGGACAGTGTCGTTTTGACACCAAACGCAGCCGTTTCAATTGCTGGCCCGCAAGAACAATATATGCCCCCGTTTTACACTACGCCCACACCAACGAATTTTTTGTTCTTTCCCCGAAACGAAAGTAATCCGCAAAATTTGAACAAAAATTCTTTTCCATTTCTTCCGCCAAAAAAAAAAAGTCAAACAAAAATCCTTCCCGAAAATTAATGTGCATTTTCAAGACGCATGAATTTGTCTCTCTTTCCCCATTTGTAATGTGATCACCCACTAAAACTTTGAGAATTAGTATTTTAAGCACAAGGTATAATAAAAAAATTTCAGTTGCAAAAAAAGTTATTTATATATATAGGACCATCAACTCTTCCTTCAATCTCTCCCCAGTGACCTAAAACCTCAAGATCATAAGTTTTAAGCAATACCCACAAAATTATGATTCAGAAATGAAGACTGGAGTCATTTCTCAATCTGATTTCGTCGTTCTTGAACCGATTAATGACTCAATTTCAAGATTTATCATTGAACTTTTAATTGGGAGTTGGTTAGAAGAAATGGAGTTCAATATGGATCACTCACATGAGACAATGAAAGAGGTGGGGCGCAGTGAGTGATTGGACGCGATACAGAGAGGTGAGGCGGCAGCTTTGGGAAAGTGTGCAGCAGAAATAAGGAATCCATCGAAGATTGTGTGGTTTTAGGCCTAGTGTAGAGTGAATAATCTATAGAGTGAGCTGGATGAAGGTGATTTATTATTATCTATGGATATTGTACTATCTCATGAGATGAAATGAATCTGCCAAAAGAAAAAGACTATAGTCAATTTTGATAAAGTGATCCACCACGAACATTGGCTATGAAAGCAGCTTCAATCGATCCCAGATCTGATAAATATAATATTAGACATTTGTATATAAATTTTTTAACACTCTAAGTTAATTTTTTAGGATAAGTTTTACCCATCAGTTTATAAATTTTTTTTGAATTAAGATCTATGGCTACTACCGAGTGAGGTGGTCCAGTGGAGTACCGATTGAATTTCTCACATTAAGATTAGATGTTTAAGTCTTAAAGTTTACATTTTGGCTATGTAGTTAACCATCATACTAGCCTAACTAAATTCTTTCTCGATAAGTGTAACGGGCACACTCAAATACCTCATAATCTCATTAATGAAGATTTATCGGCGATCTCTGGACACTTTCCTTTGACCCAACCCTTTTTCTCCTAACAAAAAAATTAAAAAAGGACCATGGCCAGTTTTGGATTGTGGCGTGGAGTGGCGTTTTTTATGCCACTTAGCGGATTTAAGAAGTTCGGTCAGGAGCTCCATATTTACTAGGTTGGTGTAACAGAGAATGGTCAGGAGGTTATTAATCCGGTTCGTGTCACGTATAATTGAACATATCGATCTGTTTATTAAGTCTAGTAAATTAGCAAATTACTTTGATTATGAACTAACTACGGCCATGAGAGAGATTTCAAAATTCTCTCGAGAACTTCCAGGTTTCTTTAACACAAGATGGTGCATAAGCAAGTTTCAACTGCAATTACAAAATCTAAATGTACCAAAACGCTGCCCTCCAATTGTTTGTGATGCTCAATACCCATTCCGAAACTCAAATTAACAATGTTGGAGGGCACATCAATATGCAGAACCCAAACATCGGAAGCCGGGATTACCATAACATTAGACATTCCTTTCACCCTTGCAATCAGCCTTACCCTCTAGAGATGGACAACAGTACGTGATAAATCATTCCCCATCTCTCCCAACAGTGGTGGTTGATCCAACTTAACTGTTAAATTAGGCAATCTTTTCCAAAAGCTGGATCACAAGACAGCTTTCTTTTGCAGCAGTATTCCTTCTGTTTAACTGTTTTCAGTTATGTTCTTGTTCCAAGGGAAGATGAAACTTGAATTCAAATGCAGGATCCGTCTTCAACCAGGCTGCTTCAGAAATTTATTTCACGTCTCTCAGCAAAAAACTTGCCCCTCACAAACTGCTCTGGAAGCAGGGCAAGCCAGACTCCAGTGTCAGCACCGTCCTCGGGTGTAGTGTGCCCAGCCCAACCAGTCATGGCAGTCTTCACCCAACCTGGGCAGTAGCAGTTGATATATATTTTCTGACCTTCTGGCCGATCAGAAAGTATCTTTGCCATTAGCCTAGTGTAGGCATTCACAGCGAGTTTTGACATTGAATAGTCTGTAAACACTTGAGGCCATCCACAGGATGTCCAACTGCCATCTTTTACTTGTTCTATAAATTTGGTCACAGTCCTATCAATAAGTTCTTCCGACAGCAAGTTCATATCTTCCAGTTGTTGTCTCAAAGTGACATCTCCAATTCTCTGCAGGGTCAAGCAAACTTTGATCACGTCCAGATAGTTAAAAGAATATGCCTTTTGCCTGGAAGTCTATTAATGGTTATACATTAATCTAATGCAGTTTTGCCATCACCTCTTATCACACAACTTCCAAATTTATATCAAGGTGACATCAAGAAGAGACCAGTTTATGTCCAATCCCTCTGGGGATTAACATTCTCTATTATTGAAATGGTGACTGAAGCATAAAAGCTCGCTCATATGCATAGTGAAAACAATAAAAATAAGGTTGCAACAGAAATCTCTAGCATCATGAAGGTATATGAACAGACATTCTGAACATGGTAAGTGACATACTAGCATTTGACTTACCAAATATACTAGAGGAAGAGAAAAAAAAAAAGGGTAAGTCCCTTTGAAAAAATAAAGCAATTCTACGGAATGACATGTCCACTAAACTTATTTTCAATAAAAAAACAAATAAAGGTGAGTAGGGACTCATATGAGCAAAATTATTCAACCTGAAATGAAATTGACTTAGAAAAAATTTTTCTGCACGCAGTATGTGCAGCAGAAGAAAGTTCAAAAATTTCTGCAGCTAATGGCAAACGGTATCCATGTTCATTATCTCTTCTGAAGAGCCATGTACCTTGTTAATTATATGGTGGTGATTTTTGCCATGTTTTACCATTTGTGTTCTCCTCTAATAACAGCAGATGCCACTCCTTGCACACACAAGAAGCACACCGAGTTTTTGTCACTAACAAAGGAAATCGAGCTACAGATAACGAAGATAGGGAGAGAAAAAGTGAAGCATATAAAGCTCTTTGGACTCATTTTCACAGTTGGTATGAATAGCACAAAGTATAATTTTCAAAACCTGCATTGTTGAATGAAAAGTTCCCCGTAGCCAAGAAAACCACTCTTCCTCCTCTCTTCGGAGTATTAAAAAAGGCGGGAATGAGAAAAACAAAAACAGGAAAGAAAAAAACATAAAAAGCTCTTACTTACATTGCGCCTGCCATTAAGTCTTCCCAACCGTGAACTCACGCTAACGATACGAGCACCTGAAGCAGAAGGCCTCATTAAGGGGATCATAGCTTTAATCATATTTTTGGTGCCAAAGTAGTTCGTTTCAATAACCTTTTCAGCAGATTCGACTGAATTTTCTGTTCCAACATTGAAATTAACACCTGCATTGTTTACCTGACAAGTTTGCATATAATTAGTGTTGAGGGCCCAGCCACCAGAAAAACAAGTACACACACACAAACAAATCAGTGAAGACAAATATTATACAACACAGCCAGAAAAGGAAAAGGAAGAGGAAGACAACAATTGTATAGCAACATTGTATTTCAGTGTTTCCTGTGTCACTAAGAACTGCAATTATATACTTATGCTATGCTGCACCATTGGTTTCAGTTACTATTCTGTATTGAAGAACGGTGGTTAAATAGTGCCTTTGTTTTTCAGTTTTCACTGTTTATATCAGCTGCAATTACGCGTGTCCTTCATTTTATCTTCCATAGAATAATAATATCGCAGAATCACACTAGCCAATACAAGATCTCTAAAATCAGGCATTTCTCATATGGGAAAGTATTCCACTTCTTCACATTCTCAAAATGAATTTTAAAAAACCTGAAAAGCATTGCACTTCTTCACGTTCTCAAAACCTTAAAAAACAAAGTTCTTACAACAATGTTGTCACTCCATGGACATCTTTCTTAAGCACTTCTTCAGGAAAAAAGAATCAGAACAAATTCTGTTTACTACAATTAATGGTAGAAACAAAAACGCTATTGCCATCTTACCAGAATATCTATATCACCATAGTTTTGCTGTATCCATGCAGCAAATAGTGTGATAAAGGAACGATCAACAACATCCAAGGCATTTTTTCAAAACAACGAAAATCAGAACAATTCCTTTGTTTTCTCTAAACAACTTAAGAGACTTGTAATCATTTTGTAGACAAATTCAAAAAGGACAGAAGCAGTCAAGAAACTGATTAACCGGTATTGCTGAACACAATCACATTTTTTTTTAACTTGCTGAACACAATTACTGGTAGTGATGAAAATGCTATTGCCATCTTACCAGAATATCTATACCACCATAGTTTTGTTGTATCCATTCAGCAAATATTTTGATAGAAGAAGGATCAACAATATCTAGTTTATGGACCACCACATTCAACCCTCCTTCCAGTAGGACCCTTGCTGCTTCTTCACCAACACCAGTCTCTCTTGATGTCAAAATAACTGTCAACCCATGCATTGCAAGTTGGTGTACAATCTCCAATCCAATGCCTCTATTTGCGCCAGTCACCACAGCAATGGTGTCTATGGACCACCATCTAAAAATGCTCCAATATAAATAAAAAGAAATGCTTAAAACTCGACTCTTAAGAGAAAAATGTAATTTGATAAGAAAGAACAAGTACAATTCATCCTGGTGTTCAGTGCATGCCAAGCGATGTCACTATGAAAAAGCAAAACTAATGAAGGGGCATTTAAAACCTCAGACTCAGATTAAACACAAATTCTGTTTTTTCTTTCTTCAATAATTGTCTTGCAATTTGAAAGCAAATTTATGTTCTATTACTTTCAAATTTTCTGCACAACTAGGCTACACTGGAAGTGCAGCAAGTCACTATTCAAGATATAGTCAAACGCATCATTAAAGCCTTAGACAAGTTACATATTCAAAACTCATTATTCCCAAACTATGGATGGGTTACTGAAACATTGGACACATCTCTGCAAGTGTCCAGGAGGCATACGATACAATGTGATGCCTTTGTAGAGTATATGCGCTTCTAACTTTAACTTATGACATTATTCACAAAGTGGCTATCCCGGTACTCAAAAAGCCATGTTCTCAAGTTAAACAACTTGAGCTTGGCCATGGCACCAGACAATGACATAACTAATTCAATAAAGAAAAATGCTACTTTAACTTAAAATCCTGATTTTATTTGCTAACTTGATCAATTACAATCATTGAATAGGTAATGGGTTGATGAAGTCGGCATTTTAAATTCATGTAGCATTGCTCTTCAATAAAGGCACGTGAGCTAAAATTTTGGGCTGCATAAGCCATTTTCCTTAACAAAGGTAAACTCAAATCCATTCTAGTAAGAAATAATTAGAACATGGCTTAGCATCAGATATTTTAATTTTAGTGAACTTCACTCTAGTATCAAAAATGCCATATTTAACAAATGTTCGAAATTCAATGTTGAAGACATTATTCAGGATTACAAGTTTCTTTAATAGATCGTCGTCCAATTTCAAAAAATAAAAAAGTGGATCTCACCCAAAAATAAAAAGCAAGAAATTGAGAAACGATTGAGCTATGTAGACAACACGAGGCAAATAATGAGTGAATTTGCACAAGATTGCACATTAGGAAATTAGGGTTAGCGCTGCAATTAGAAACTAAGAACCGATAATAGAAACCACACAACGCATAAACATGAATAAATGAACAGATGAGAATTGCTACCTTTGGTGATCGGAATAAGGAATGGTGCGGAGAAGAGAGACCTCTTGGCGTCTCTTTTCTCTTCGCTCCTTCGCCCTCTCTTTTTTGTCCATAATCTCTCTCTCTCTCTCTCTCTCTCTCTCTCTCTCTCTCTCTCTCTCTCTCTCTCTCTCTCTATCCTGAGATCGAAGCTTCTGCTATGGTGTTTCTCTTTCGGTTAAGACATTAACGGAGTGTTCGTAATTCCCGCTATAATTGGGGCAGACCTTCGCACTCCGCCGGTGTTCGGACTTTGAACCACCACCTGACGCGTCACTCCCACCGAACTTGGTCGAGATTTACAAATAGAGTAAAGTAAACTACATCCCTAAAACTATGAACTTATGTCAATTAAGTCCCTACTATTTTTGGAGCAAGATTATTAAAATCTAATTTACTAACGTAAATTGCTAGTCTAATTCACTGTGACATTTTAATTGATAGTAAGCCTCGTTGAACATTAAAACTTGGTATTGATCCAATAATTTATATTAAATCACATCATTATGTCAGCAAATTAGATCAAATTTTTATGTTCAAATAACATTATTCTTTGGACAAAATCCAGTTTACCCCCTTATGGTTTGGTGGGTTTTGCACATCACCTCCTTATGATTCAATAAATCAGCATATAACCCCTTTGTGTTTTTGGACCAAAATGCACAACTAACACCGTTAACGACAGTGACAAAAAGACCACCTAGCCCTCCTTAAAATTTGAATAAACTTTGTCACCACATCTTCTCCAACCCACTGCATTTTCTCCAACCCCATTGTTTGATAGTTATTTGTATTTAAAAAATTATAAAAACAAAAATAAAAAAATGTTTGATTTTTTACACAAAATCAACCACTCAACACTACTTAATTCCATTACCGCAACCACCTAACCCCACCACAAACTCACCCCCAAACCCCTTGCAATCCACCGCCCATACTGAAAACCCCCCACCAACAACAACCCAACACCACCGAAATCCCCACCCCCAAACCCCACAGAAAACCAACCCCAACACACCATCAGCAATCACCTAACCCCACTACAAACCCACCCCACAAACCCCTTGCAATCCACCACCAACCACCCATATCGAAAACCCACCCCCACCAACAACAAACCAACACCACCGAAACCCCCACCCCCAAACCCCATAGGAAACCAACCCCAACACCCCTTGGAACCCCTACACCACACCGAAAACCCACTTCAAACCCCTGAAAACCCACTCCCAACAGCCCCAAAGACCCACCCCCAACAGCCTCTGAAACCCACCCCCAACCCCCTGAAACCCAACCCCAAACCCATTGAAAACCCCGTCCGAAAATCACAAGAACAATTACAAGAGAGAGGGAGGAGGAGGCGAGAGGCGAGACTAACTCGTTTCACTTTCTTCATCGCTACTGACTTAGTTCGCTAAGTTGGTCCTTCTTCATTGTCTTTTTCACTATGATTTGGTCTTCTTCTTCTTCTTCTATATTTTTTCTTTGCTAAATTTTTTTGTCACAGCAAATCATTGCACAACGAATTTCTCTTTCTTTGTGACCCACTTTTTTATTGGAAAGGCAGAGGGATTGGGTTGCCAAGGGTGAGGGTTTTGGTCATAGGTGAGGGCGTTGTTGAGTGGCGATGCAGAGGAGTTGGTTTTTTTCTTTTATCTTTTTTTTTTTAACAGTAAAATGTAGAAGAAGATAAAAAAAATGTCTTTTTGAAAGATCACAAGGATATATTTGGACTTTTAGATTGAACTTTGACTCTGACTTAAATTTTTTACATCCATACTTGCAAATCTAGCACATGTGTTATAATTTCTATCACTTTTGACAAAAATAGTAATGGTCGCACTTTAGTCAAAAAACACAAGGGGGCTATGTGCTGATTTTTGAACCATAAGGAGGTAATGTGTAAAACGACCAAACCACAAGGGATAAACTGGATTTTGCCCTTATTCTTTTTTTTATATATCAATTAAGTATTTAAACTCTCTAATTGTGTCAATTAAACCATTTTATCTACGTCCCTTAGATTTTCTAATCGAAAGTGACGAAATGTGCAACTCACTTACTCATTCTACACAAATGGTTGAGATAAACTATACATATTATCCTCAAACTATGATCATTGTATTAATTTAGTCCCTAAACTTTTTTATGATATGACATAACCATTCATCTTCCAAATTTCTCAATATTAGTGTACTCATTTGAATTATTTAAAGTTAGCAGTTGATAATGATGAGATTTTGGGTATGGGTCATCATAATCAAAAGCCCAATAAGTTCAGGAGCTCCCTACGTGCACAATGGCCTAGATGGGTAGCAGTAGCTTGCCCATGACAAAGAGTAGGGTAGACCGCGCCCAAAGAGGCGGGGCCATCTATTGGTACCAAAGAAGAACAGAGCAAATCGCAGCACATTCATGAGACATAAAGAGCCAATGAAGGGAACCAACAACAATGTCATTAATAAAATGAGGTAAATACAAAGGCAACATCTCTCGAGAGGTTACATTGAAGGAAATAAGAAAAGACAGCAACAAGCTAAGTTAAAGCGACAGACTCCCCTTCCCCACTGGCCTAACCAATTTCTTCCTCAGCACCGGGCTCTGCGATCCCAACCGCCTCAACTTCAGTACCTTTCTCGGCTCCAGATGCCCTAACCTCGCCCACTGGGTCAGCTAAATCAACCACTCCAGCCGATTTATTTGTCTCGATCTGAGACGCAAAAGAATCCAGATTAAGGTCTGGATAAGCCCTCTTTGTTTGTTCTTGAAAGTTTAGGAACCCCTTCACGAAGGCAACAACACCCTCTTTAAGAAGCTCAGACACCGTGGCCCTTTGAGACTCCAATTCAGTGTCCCTGGCCATAAAGATCAGCTTCTTTGGTTTCCAGCTGGGAGTCTTTGAGCTTAGTGAGGTCCTGGTAACGGGCGTCCAGCTCATCATGAATTCTTTTCAGCTTAGTTGTTTCAGCTGTCAGAACCTTCCCTTTTCCCTCGGTAGCCTCCTTACTTGCCGTCGCGGCTTCGGCCAGATTCCTGATTTCCATCAACTCTTGCTCGTAATGGAAGTCCATCATCCTAACACAAGCAAGCGACTAACAAAAAGGGAAGTTAGTTAGCACAAGAAAAACCATAAAAACACATTGGAATGAGTACTTAGGTGAAAAAGGGTAACGAAGAAACTCAGGACACCTCAACTAAGCCCCGGATGGCATGATGAGTCTTGTTCTTGAAAGAAACACGCCTAGCTGCCATAGGATCCGATGTGGGAACCAACTCGATCAAGACGCCCACAACAACCTCAGGGTCACGAAGAAATCCACCCCTCTAGGCTTTGGTCTGGGAGGGGATGGATTCCCTTTTATTGGCCTTCTGAGGAACAGGCTGAAGAGGGATGTGAGAAGTTGCTGGAGCCATAGGTCGTGCAGATAAGGACTCCTCTGTAACTAACTTGCCCTTAGGGAGCTCAGGGGGAAAAAGAGGTAAGCCAACGCCTTCAAAGGAGGCAGGAATCTCATGTTTCTCCTCCAAACTAGTTGGCGCCTGCCTAGATGCTTGTCCCTCTTTGGGAGGCAATTGAGAATTCTTCACCAACTTCATTTTCTTCCTTGTTTTCTCGGCACTAGAAAAAACCGTCATGATTAGACTTGGATCCATGGATTCAGGTTGGGGGCCAGACAAATGGTGTTATTTTTCCGGAGCAAGATCAATAGGCTGCCCAAGCTCGTGCTTTGCAAGACTTTCGTCAGTTACAAGATCAAAAAAAGATTGCAATCCCAATGCCTCGTCCCCCGACAACTCTGGCCGCCTCTTCTGTGTTGAGTATTGGACAAAAATTTGCAGGTCAGACCAATAATTAGCTAGATAGTGATGAAAACAAGTACAGAAAAAAAAGATGCAGCCAACTAGCTGGTCTTACTAGTATTTCTTGGAATTTCCCAAAACCTAGGAATGCGAGGAACATCACTAGGCTCTCCAGACATCTCCCAGGAGTCGCCTCTATTGAAGAAAAACCTCGGCTTCCATCCTTTGTTGGAGGAAGGAAGCCCAAAAATAAAAGTCTTTGCCTTTACCCTATTGGCAAAATAAAAAAGCCCAAAGAAGGGGAAAACTTAAGTTGGAAGAGGGAGGCAAATTCTCGGATGGATGGACGAGAGTCATTCCCACTCTCGAACCAATGAATAAGGAAACTGATTAGGAGGCCCCAACCATTTGGAGAAAGTTGAGCTGGGCAAACATGGTAAAAACACAAAAGTAATCCGAATGAAGGGATGAACAGGGAATCGAAGCCCAGCTTGGAATACAGATTCGAAGAAACAAGTCAACCCGGAAATAAAAGAGTTACACCTCTCGTGCTCCTCAGGGGAATGTAATGATACAAAATCAGGAAAATGGTATTCCTGCCTCAATGCCTCCAAAATCCTCATAATCAAGAAGACTAGAAGTTGATTCAGTGCAACAAGTCCGATTAGACAGATCCCGACGAGCTTTGGTCTTAGGTATAGAAAGGCGAAGCCACCCTAGACTTCATTTTCTTAGACTGACCAGAGGAAATGAGTGGTAATGCTAAAGGAGTCTGGACCTCTACAAGAAGGGATGAGGTCGAAACCTCAAGGGCTGACTCAGAAGCCTTCTTTAAACGGCCACTAATGGAAGCAGCAAAAACCTTCTCAACCTCCTCATCACCGCTACTCCTCAAAATCAGACTCAAAAGAAGAAATGACAACCCTTCCCATCGTTGGCTCGGATCGCAGACCAGAATGAAGAGAAGGCCAATGCAAAATACAGTCCGTTAAGAATAAATGGTTTAAACACCAGGCCCTAAAGAAGGATAACCTCAACAACACATAATGATCTATAAACTGCGAAAGGAAATAAAAATCACTGGAATGACTCCTGAAATAACTAAACCTCCAAACCAAAAAACGAAACCCGAAACTCCACCAGGAAGGGTTAAAGGGATCCAGATCTAATAAAAAAAGGAAGAAAAGAGAACACACCTAGACAAATGCTAAAAATAGAAAGGAGTTGGGAGTAAGAAAAGCCCTAAGATTGCCAAAATGTTTAGGGCAGGCGCCTCAGAAATCGAAAGAAGAAAGAAAACACGAAGAGATGAGAATTCAAAAGCACAAAGTGGGAAAA